CCAATATGCTTTTTATTTTCAGGACATATACTTTTCTAGGATGCATTAAAAAGTAATCTCTGCCATTGACATTATAAATCTTCATACTTCACATGGGTTTGCCCTGTGTATTATTCTACACTCAAGCTCCAAAAAGTAAGCTAAAGTTTGGAACTGTCCAATATAAGTCACAATCTCAAATAAAATAACAACTATCATCAGCTATTAGAGAACTTTTGAAAGTTGGAAACTTCTTCTTTCCCAGAACAAGGCATAAAAAGAAAATGTTTTCATCTCTGACTGTTTTTACCCCACCCTGATAGCAATCAAGGAAACAAGTTGGCAATGTTTGATTTCTTTTATATGCTACAATTTAAACCTACCCCATGTTTATAGAGGCCCAAGTAACACCTAGATTTGTGCACAAAGCTCCTCAAAGCTAAGCAACAAAATTTTAAGAATTCCAACTTGCAAAGTACACAATAAGCATTCTCCTGCATTACCTGAAAGTTACACTTTACAGTTAAGCCACGGTTATACCATCTGAAACTCTGAATTCATCAGGTGCAATACAGTGTATTGGTATACAGATGATCAAAGGAGAGATGTTTGAGGAAAATCTCAGTATGGAAGAAAGCAATGTAAATGAAGAAGGAAACAGCACTCTCCCTTATGAGATCTTGCTTATACATCACTCAAGCAAACTGACAGCAGGTTCAAGCCATGAACTGGCATTATCTTCAATGTGGCACTGGGATAGCAATGTCATCCCATCCATTGATGTCACTTAGCATCATTATTTTCACTACAAAATAAATCAAAGACCTGATTATTCGTGGACATTAAAACATTTATGGCCCAACCCAAGATTAAATGTCAAGGAATTCAGGTCAAATCTTTGCTGCACTGTTACATTCTGAAAATTTAATATTTATTTGTATCAAAATGTACTTCAATCGGGTGCTATAATATATAAGGATTTTCCCTTGCAAAATCTTGAAGTTGGAGAGATTAGAAGGTGTTTTTTTGGTGGATTTAATGTTCTTTACTTGAGCTTTCTAATAGGCTGTGATACTCCTGACACCAGCCAGTTGTTAATTAAGTCTTGTCGACATACTTCTAACTAGTCTGAAGTATTACAAAACATCACCCTCTACAAAACAAGTAATTTTTTTCCTTTTAAATTACCTGAAGACAGTCCTAGACTCTAGGGCATAGAAAATATTCTGGATGAAGGTACAGCTGTCGTATCACTTACATTTCTTTGCATGTTTTGAATTTCATTATGAATATAATAATTACTAGTATTTCTCATTAAGAAACATGCTTATAAGAAAGTTTACTTTTGGGATGGGTACTTGACTCAGGCTCGTAGGGAGCAGAAAATATTCAGAAGGAAAGACAGTGAGCAAAGCAAGCAAGGAGGGTCAGAAAGGGGAAGAGAACGGGCAGAGCAGAGAGCAGGGCTGAGATGAAAGGAGAGCAAAAGCCATTGGCAAGAGCAAACAAGTTCAGAGCAGTGAATTAAGGTGTCAGGAGGATGGAAAAGGTCCTTGCAGCTGCTGCTATTGTTCAATGAGTGAAGGCTCTCCTGCTCTGCCGAAAAACCAGGAGCTGGTGGGCCTCAATTTACACTTTTGTTCTCAGTTGGCTTCTCTAGGGAGTGTCCCAAAGGCTCCACATTTCCATAATCTGCACGTCTAAGACCCTGCTCCAGCTTCTGCTGCCTGCCGCGGCAAGGGGTCAGCCCCAACACTCCTGTCCCCGACATGCAGCCCTGGCGCTGGGGAGGCACCAGCCCCGAGTAACCCTTTGCCTTTTACCCCTCTATCCCACTTATTTTTAAGAGGTAAGGAATTATTTAATTTGAAATTAACTTGAAATTAGTTTCAAAAGAGAATCCTACTTAACTGCTCTCATCCACATTTTCAAAACAGTTTATTAGAAAAATGATTCTGCACCATTGCCAGAGTTTATATTTCAGTCTATCTTCTTTTTATATTTTGCAGTTGTTTAATGAATCACTACACTATCTTTTTGTTAAAAGAAGCTTAGAGCATTTTTCAGCATAACATTTTTAATTACTACTAGCACTGATGAAATGCTTTCTGAAACTCTTTTTTGATGAATAAGGATTTACATGAAAAATTCTAATTTTTGCAAAAATAAGAAAATGCATTTTTTTCCCACATCATCTAGCAAAATTTAAAAAAAAAAAAAAAACAAAAAAAACACTTCTGAAAGAAGTCTCTCATTTTTAAGAAAAAAATTGAAATTAAAAAAGGAATTATTTTGGAGCAAGCAGGAAAATAATCTCTAGACTAAGTGATCTGATACACAAAATTTCCCCAAATACTCATTTTGATTTTTATCTACATTACAAGTGTTGGCATCTTTTAGCTCATCAGAATACCAGACAGTTTTGAGGAAAAACTAAGCTTCGGAATGAACATGAAAAGTATCTGACTCCTCAGAGGTATAATGGAAAATGAGTAGTAGCAGAATTAGTAGAAAATGGAGGCCAATAAACCTTCTGGGGATTTATTTGAGTAAGCACATTTCAATGAGGTTTAAATACAAGTAAACTCAAGTGCAATGTGATTCATTAACTTCAAATTTAACTGAACAGCTCTCAAATAATCATGTCAAGAAATACTGAATAAGTGTTAAGTGTAAGTATATGTTTCTGTAGACAGAAAACTTGGAAAGAACCACTTTTGCAAATTCTAATACTGTTGCAAATGCATGGCTGCAAAGGAATAATACTGGGACACAGAAAATTTTTTAGCTAGCAGACATAGTGAAATTGTAGATGCAGAGCCAAAAGGAAATAAAATAAAAAAGAAAATAAATTAAGCATGCTGTTAATTTGTTAATTAACAACAATAAAAATAAAAATGCAGACAAAAAATACATGAACCAAAATACGTAAGTAGCATCTAAAGTCAGCTCTGGTATTCACCGATTATCAAGGGTAAACTTAAACATGTGAATGGCAGAACACTCTCTGCCACCACATTAATGCTTAGTGTTACGTTTACCATTAGAATCCATTCAGCTCCATATTACATAAATAGGCAAGTTTTAGACACATGTGCATGCATAGCATTTTAAATACTTCAGAAATACATAATGTGTGGTATAACAGCTTTATTGAGATAAACTCTGATGAAGCCACAGAGAAGGCAAGCTAGGATGTGTGCTGACTCCACATCAGCATGTTTCTGTGTGTCCCATAACTCCCTAACACTACTATTTTATAGATGTTCTACTTTTTTAAATCTGAACTACTCTGTATCTTTGGTTCATAAAATTCCAAAAGGGGGAGAAAATATATATCTGGTACATGCAAAACTTCTATTAAAAAAAAAAGGCCCGATAATAATAATAAAAATAGAAGCTATAATGCCCCAAAAGTCTCTCTCTCCATTTGTTTTAGTTTGATAGAATGAAAACTAGCCTATGCACAGAAAAGCAATAAAACCTGCTGGTGTTTTCCATTATATAGCATCTACCACAAACTGAACTAACTTCTGTGATTTCAAAGAAGATGCACAATGGGGGAAAACAGCAGCAGTACACATAGAAAAGAAACAAAACTCAAATTAAGAAGAGAGGAGGGCAGGAGAAAGGGAAAGAAGGTGGCAGTTACGGGGATGTTGTACTTTGCTTTAATTACACAACATCCTCAGAGTACTCAATAATGTCATAGACTGAAGGCTTAACAAAACACATTGTTTGAGTGTCTTAAACAGAATAGACTAATTTTAGACAAACAAGTTGAGATTCAAACACTTAAGTGTATCTCTTGATTTTCCAAAGTGCAGTTCCCTGTGACAACTGCCAGAGCCACAGAGTGCTGAGCCCTCCAAAGGAGAAGGAAGCTACTGCTACCCCGTCTCAGCACTTAATTTTGAAAGTCATGGCTTTTCCTTTCCTTCAGAAAAAGGATTTTAACTAGGCGTGCTTGTTAAAACTTAAATTACCAGCTGCAGCAAAATAAAAGTGTTTTTTTAGTCAAGGAGCCATTTCAATCTTCCAGTTATTTAACCACTAAAAAAAGATCATGCCATGCCCCAGCAGCGGACAAAGTGCTGCCTATGGAGTTCTACAGCATGGCTCAAAGCTGCTGTAATAATGCTTGGAACTTAGATACCACTTTTCATCTTCAAAGCAGTTTACAAACATTAACTAATTAATCTGCACAACATCCCTCAGGCCCACTTGGATCAAAAATGAGGCGCTGCATGCTGGGACCTGAATTCTCCGTGGGCCCTAGCTCCAAATTAAAGATGAGCAATCTGCTCCTTCTTTTTTTTTTTTTTTTTTTGTAAATAGACTCCTGATACATTGCCAATGCAGCCCTCTGTTGGGCAACATTTGGATGCCCCCAGCTTTAATCTCTATTAAAGTATCATGCCCCAGTCTGCCTTTGTTAATTTTGGATATCTTGGAATCTATTAAACGTGGCACAGTTTCTTGAGGTTTTAACAAAGCTTTAGCTTTGAAAATACATCTTCTTTTGTCTTCATTCTAGCTGGCTTCCACGCAAAGATCTTTTAGATGAGATAGATACTGAGTTTTCCGTTGCTGTTGACGCATTAGCCTTAACTATTAACATATTCAGCATGATTTTCTAATATTTAACATCGCTTTTTCAGCGGCACATAACTGTTGCTCTTTACAAAACCTAAGAGCCAGCTCCTCCTCTGATGTAAACTGGACTGCCAGTTTACAACAGCCCAGGAACTGACCCAAGAAGTTTAGCAGGGAGTTGGCTGCCACTATGACATTGTGTCAGACTGAGTCAGGAGACTGGCTGCATCCACCTCCAAATAGGAACATTAGCATTTAAAACAAATATAACGACACTGTAAACCAGCAACACAAAAATAAGCATCTGCAAAAGGATCTTGGGGGATGACATCAACAGACAAAAGAGTGTCTGCTCCCAGTGTGAAACCAATACCAAAACAGCAGTGGAATGCTCTTAAACTAATTATTGCGTTGCTGGACTTGGGAATGGAAAATACTACAAAAAGGTAGTACATTGAAGCACTGTTACGGAGCATGAAAGGATTCATAGTCTATCTTGGAAAGTAAAGCCATTTGTGTTCCCCTACTGAATGAAGATGCCAGCCTTCTGGTAAAGAGCCTAAACTAAAATAGTACCTAAAAGATTCTGGGTGGAAAATAGTTGACCAAACCTCAAATATGCTGGAACTTCGGCATCTGCACACAAATCCAAATCTCCCTCTTCTTTGCACAGGTTTAAATGTATAATTAAATCCACCAACTTAGCTGGTGATTTTCCAAAACAAAGTGGATGTTGGATTGGACTATGGTTGTAAAGATTTATATCTATACGCATTCATATTTTGGTTTCCAGTTTCCTCAAATGTTTGGGGAATGGTGACATTTAATTAAGGAACTAAGGGAGGGCTGTTTGTTTGGGTTCCTATCATTAATCATTTGAAACTTCACTGTACCTGTAGTGTCGAGAAATCTCTTCTTCCACCTGGGTGGTAAAGTCACATTTGGTACATGAGTGTTCTTTGTTCTCCTTCAGTGTCAGCGGCCCCTCTGCCCCTGGCAGGGCATTTGTTTCTGGTTTGACATCAGACGCTTGGGCTTCATGCGCATTCTCATAGTGGAGCAGGAGAACATCTACGTCAGGAGTGGAGAATGAGCACTGATGGCACTGGTGTTTGACTCTAGAGCTTCCTGTCACCCCTGGAGACAGGTGCAAAAGCAAGAGAGCACAGTGGGAACAATTACTTTTTCTGCAAGCAAATGGGTAAGTAATTTCTCCAAGGTGCTTTTCTGGGCTGCAGAGGCCTCGGGGACAGAACTGACAGTGCTTAATGGTACATTTATGAATGTTGTGTAGCTGCTGATAGTGACGGAGAAGCGGGCCCACCACTATTACATCTGGGCCATGGCTCTTTGAGTACCTAAAGTCACAGAACTGACAGTTGTAGCTTGTCACCATGCTGTCCTCTGCTCCTTTGCTAGTCAAGTCTTTCTTTTTTGCCACACTCGCACCCTTTTCTGTCTTTGTCACTAACTCCCCATCTGCATTTTTGGCTAGATCATTCTGGTTAATGACAGATCCCCTAGAAAGCTTATCATTCAGATCTGGGTGAAGGCTTCCTGCCTGGCTTCCCCCATGTTGTTTGCTGTAATGTTCTAATAGTTTCAATGAGCTGGACGATTCACAGCTGAAACTGCAAAATTTACACCAGTAGTAACTGGTTGTATCGGTACCGTTTTGTCTAGAGGAATCTATTGGCTTGATGGGCACCGAATATCCAACTGGTGTATCATCTCCTGCTTTTACAGTGATTCTGTCTTGCCACTTCCCCAAGTCTCCAGAATCACATGGTCGAAGAGTAGGACTGGATTTATTGGAGTTTTTCTCTGAAGTTTTACCAGAATCAGAGGAGGGAAGGGCTGCTTTCATTTTGTTTGGGTGAGTCTGTAAGAAGTGTTGCTCTAGTTCAGTGGAGGAGTTGCCCATGTAGGTGAAATTGCAGAATTTACAGCGGAAGTACTTGGTGTTGCCTTGGCAATCTGGAGTTTTCCGCCCAATCCCAATAAAGGTTCCACCTAAAGTAACCTGTGAATAAAGAATAAGGTCATTTTAGTTCCACTGTAGATTCATTGAAGTAGCAAGGAAGGAAAAAAAAAAAAGAGAAATAGAGAGCAATTAATACCTAAGCTTCTTTCGTTAACCATCACCACCATTTTCATTTGTACTAATGTAGTAAGATATCATACATATATCTGCACATATTTAGCATTTGTTGCCGAAGATTTTGAAATGTTTCACATAGCTGAATGTATATTCCATATGAATAATAAATATATTTATTTAGGGAATCCAAAGCACACATACACAACATGATCTTAACTCAGTGTTCTCTAATAGGACTATTCCTTCCTTCACTAAATCACTAAATCATGTAATTGAGAAAATATCCAATAATCAGTTCCCATATCCCTGAACCCTTTGACAGGAGACTTCACTGGGAGTCTGTACCAGGCATGGAACAAAAGAACGGACCATCAGTCTTTTTCTTTCAATACACTTACATGTCTTAATCATCTTCATGCTTAACAGTCCAAGAGAATTTCTTTCTAAATATGAGCAAACAAATCTTAAATTTGAAATAACGAATTCAGTTTTCTGGGTCAGAGTATGACCAATTCTTATAAAGACCATTCCTACAGGAGTATCCAGTATCTGCCAGGAGATCTTTTAACACAGCCATAGTGGCTGATGAATGAAACGAAAGGCAGTTTTCTCGAAGATTACTCAGTGCAGACATTCTCCAAGGAAATCTTCTATTCCCCTCATGCACAAAGCTCGATTTAGTAAAACAAGGATGGAAAAACTACAGTAGAAAAATGGCATGTGGCAAAGAAACCTACCACACCCAAGTCCATGACATCATTAATTTTTCTTAAAAAAAAAGGTAGGTCTACTTAACTGTTCTCATGATCTCTGAGCAAAATGGTCTGCAGGAAGGAAACAAGGCTTCCAGGGCTTATGTTATTAAACCCTGTGTTCTCATAGCAGGCAGGCCTGCCCTTCCCAGGAGTGCACCACACCTGCCCATGACATCAGGGGGCAGATTTGCTGCTCCTGTACCACTGGTTTGAAGGCCAAAGAAAGAATCTCCTGACAAAAATTTCACCATTGCTCTACTTCTTTTCCTGAATAGTAAATAGTGTACAGCATCCAGAAGACAATTCCTCTCTACACCCGAAATCCACACACATCTACTCCTTTGTCATCATCCAGTCTAGACCGCTACATCAAGGTCTCAGCTAGAAGCTTCCTTGTGCCACGTTCTCAATTTTTACACCCAAGAGATGCCTTACAGAGAAGATAAAATTTCCATACAGGGTTTGATTTCTGTTCTCCCAACCAGTAAGTATATTACTACATTTCTGCAGGATTCAGTTGTAATGCATTAGGCAAATGGTGTAATTATTTTTCTTCTCCTCCTCAACAGCTGTTCAACGAAGAAAACATGTGATCACTGCTCATTCAGTATCACAACATACGGAAAGACTCAGACGTACAGACAGCATGAAAAGTAAACATGTTTAAATGCATATAATATAAATGTCTTTTAGCCATTTAGCTCAGAGAATGAGATGCTATCCTTTGTATCCCATCAGAATTGAACATGTATAGTCAGTCAATGAGTTGCTAAACCATGATATAATGAGCTGCTATTCAGCCTCCTTTTTTTTTTTTTTAAAGAAAGCACAATTCCCATGCACTGGTTAAAATTGTTTCTTAAATAAACTGAAAATTGCTTTCTGTTTGTTTAGGAAACACATATCATTAGGCAATAGTTAGTTGATCAGCCAAATAGCTAGGACTTGGCTGTAATAACATGTTCACTTAACCTGAGGCTCCAAGTTCTGGTATCAAGTTATGAATTTGGTTTTGAAGAGGTTCCTTGGAAGAAGGATGTTCTAACAGATCTTCTGTACTGCAGAAGATCCCTCATTTTATTCATTTTATAATGCGCAAGAACTGGAGACAAAACTATGCTGAGCCTGATCCACTGACAACAACGGGATGTGGGCCTGCTCCACAGATTCTGGCACTTCAGGTCTCCATCCACTGCATTATTTCAATGTTCAAAGTCTCAATGGTGTTGAAAGACAACTTAAAGAAAGCACTGATGGAATTATGGTAAACAGAAAATAACAGCAGCTTGCTGCACAATTACATAAGTTGCAAGGTGATCTGGTTTTGCTCATTTAATTAGATACTTATGTTTGTTCTACGCATGCACAGAAAACTGGCCAAAATGCTTTACCTTAAGTGGCTCTAATGAGTACATACATCCATTACTCTCAGCTGTCCATTCACAGAGCCTACAGATAACAAACCTATTTTGCAGACACTCTGCAGACCCCAGTTAGAAACGGTGAGTGACGATAATCCCAGCTGCTGTACATTGCCTATTACTTTTATTTCTGAACACTGCAAAAACATATTATTAGTACTAGCATTTTATACAATGGAGAGTAAATCACATCATTTCTGTAACTTGTGCTAATCCTGCTTAGTGGCCTACATAGCAAATTTGTCTCCCATGCTAATACATCCTTCTCTGCATCACAAGAGGGTAAAATAGAACTAAGTATTCTGACACTATTTGTGTTAACCTCTTGCAATGGAGAGGACACACAATCTTTACAGCACTGGAATGTAATTACCAGTTACTGGGTTCGCATCTCCCTGACTACCCTGCCACAATTCAATGTAATGCATCCTATTAGGAGAGCATGTATGTGAAATGTAACACAGGGTCATCTTAATGTTACTACACTCAAAAGCTATTTTTCACGCATAACAAAACCTACTGAAAGTCTCCTTGGGTGTCATCAGGTAAAGAGAACTGAAGAAACTGGCTTCTATGCAAAGAGGCTGGGAGAAGTGATGGTATAAACTGAAGCTGTTTCAGCTTTCAGCCAGGCAAATTTGGAAGAAGCCTACACATTTGCACAACCGTCTAGATTCATGCACTCTGCTCAAGTCTTGGCTTGACTTTCAGATTTTTCAGTTACGTACCGTATCTCTGTGTACAGGCACTAAACTCCTTCACTGGTTATGTAATTGTCCTTAACCTCCTGCTCCCTCTGACCAGCCCCAGAAAGAGTAGAAATAAAGGAGAAACAGAAGGGAAAAGGGGAAACTATACATATATATATATGTCCTAGAAATCAATATGCACATTTCTGTGTGGTATCAGAAGTGATAGCTGCTCGTATTTATTCCCCTATTTCATTCTGATCCCAGCAAAACCTAGTCCCCTGCTTTGCCCTGACGAAGTTATATTTTCTTAAGTAGACACCCCTCCCCAACATACAGAAGAAGAAACTAAACAATAGCAGTGCTAAAATTCTGCAATTCTATTACAGCTGTGGAGTCCAAAGTGCCAGTTGACATAACTAGTGGCAGTCACAAGTACAGGTACAGTTTGCACTGAGAATGTTAGAGCACCTGTAGACCAACTGTTCTCTTAATAAGCACAGAAGAAAATTAATCTTTGTAATTCTCTTTTTAAAGGGAATCTAACATTCAAGGCATCTGTTTGGACTGTGGAAACCTGATTTAGTTCTTTCCCTCAGTGTTGCTTGCTTGTGAGACCTTGGGATTATCACTTACTCCTGCAGCACCTCAATTATGGCAATATAGTCAGTATTATCATGCTGTATAGAGGAAGACGGCTATTAGAATGGGTTTTCCATTATTGCACTTGAGATGGCTGCACTAATATTCTTCAAAAATTGCTCTTCAAGCGATGTCTCAGTCTGGGATTAAACTGAAACATACTTCACAGTAAGACTCCCTGAAATTCAAAACTCTTAATCATTAAATTAATTCATTAATGGGGAAAATTATCAAAATCTAGAAGACTGGAAAAGAATTTACCACAACGATTGAAGTTTATGTGTTAATACAACTAAGCTATCTCCTCATATACCACACACATTTCCAAAAATAGCCAGAAAGAACAGAAAAGATAACATGATAACTGACAATATTTCAAGATGTACTTTCTAAAGCATGTTGTCAAGTACTTCAACAAAGCTGTGTAATAGCACTATGTGTTTCCAACAGATATGTCTATATTACCTTAATTAGTCCGACCAAAACCAATGATTTCATGGAATAGATGGACTTGGGCAAGGAGAGGTACCTCCAGGGTTTTTTTTCAAAAGCGTCTTTAATATTTAATCTGCCCATGATCCAAATGCTACCCTATTCTATTCTCCCATCTCCTTTTTGAAGTTCAATCCTAAATTTTATTACACCAAAGCAGTTTACAAATACTGCTTACAGAAAATGAAAAAAATTACCAAGGAAGACAAAGTGTGCCAGTTCCTGTAATCATATGTTTCATGAAGAAAATTCTACCAGCAGAAACTAGTGGCCTATATCCACGTAAGAGATTCAACTGCAAGGCTCACATGCACAGGGTAAAGCTGTCTTTGACCTCTGGCTTCTTCTGCAACTACTGATTAGAAACTAGACCAACCATCTGCATTGGAACATCAAATGTTAATAAATCTTCTTTTTTTGATTACCTGGGTTACATGTTTGGCTAATCAGGACGTGAAAGACTCTAGATCCCTTACCAATCTCCTGAGCCATCCAGTCTGCCTTTGCCAATTACTCTTAATCTTCTAATCCTAAAATATTTTCTAATGTTCGTTTATTCATTTGCTTTGTGCAATACAGCATCTAGAACATTTTAACCACCCCACATTATGAAGTTCTTCATGTTGTGCAGGCCAGAACAGATTCCTGGCTTTCATGCAAGTTTGTGTAACACCACCCAGTTCTCTAACCTCCACTATGGAGAACTCCCTTTCACTTGCTCTCTCTCCGCATGTAAAACTACAAGAATCTTCAGAGTATAGTCTTAAAACTATTTACCATACTGTGATTAATTTATAGATAGACAGAACTACATTGCACAAAGTGAGGCAAAGACTCAGGACAAACTCCTGGCTTCCTGGGCTATTCATACTTATCAAAACAAGAAAGTAATCTATTCGGTCACATTCATTCAAGATGAGTGT